ATGAACCACTCTCTGTACAAAAAAATTGCCCCTCATGTCTTTTTTAAATCTTCTCCTCTCACCTTAAAAATATGCCCCCTAGTCTTGAAATCCCCTGCTGTAGGGAAAAGACACCTATATCTCTCATGATTTTTTAAACTTCTATAAGGTCACTTCTCAAGCTTTGATGCTCCAGTGAAAGAAGTCCCAGACTATCCAGCCTCTCCTTGTAACTCAAACCTTCCATTCCCGCCAACATCCTGGTAAATCTCTTCTGAACCCCCAGCTTAATAATATCCTTCCTATAACAGGGAGACTAGGACTCCAGAAGGGGCCTCACCAATGTCCTGTACAACCTCAACATAACATCCCAACTCCCATACTCAAGGGTCTCAACAATGAAGGCAAGCATGCTAAATGTTTTTCTAACCACCCTATCTATAAGTGATGCAAATTTCAAAGACTTATGTACCTGAATCCCTAGGTCTCTCTGTTCTACAACACAATCCAAGGCCCGACTTTTAACTGTATAAGTCTATAAGAGTTGCAGTAGATTTAGTGTGTGTATGTGTCCTTTCTGCAAAATACAAGGCCCTTGAATTAGAGCCATAGAGTCATACAACATGTAAACAGACCCTTCGATCCAACTCGTCCATGCCAACCAAGTTTTCCAAACTAAACTAGTCCCACTTGTCTGCGTTTGGCCCATATCCCTCTAAACCTTTCCTATTTAAGTACCTGTCCAAATGTCTTTAAAATATTGTAACTGTTCCTGCATCTACCACTTCATCTGGCAGTTTATTCCACCTACGAATCACCCTCTGTGTGAAAAGTTGTTCCTCAGATCCAGTCTTTGGGACACATACGCTACATGCCTGGTATCACACTGGCACTGAAATTCGTATACCACATTTTTTGCATGTGATAAGCAGAACGTCACTTTGGCTTGACAACAGCATCCTGTGAGTGGCAAATACCACTTCTGTTGCTACTGCATATAGCAATGTGAAACAGCCAGCTTCTCAAATCTGAAACAAATGCAGAATGCTGGAGAAACTCAGCAGGTCAGGCAGCATCTGTGGAGAGAGAAGTAGTGAATGTTTCAACTCTGGTAAAACTCTTCTTCAGAAATCGGAGTTTATTTCAAATTTCCAGCATGTGCAGTATTTTGCTTTCATTCTTGGTCCACTGAGGTATTTTCTCATTTGCCTATTTTTAAATATCCATATCATCTCTGCATATTTGCCTGTCATGTAATTGGATATGTTTCAGACTAAGGGGACATAGTTTAATTCCACATAGTAGTTTCATTGTTAACCAGTTTTGCCATTTATTATAGGAGTATGTTTGTTTACAATAAAGCAGTTACTTTTGAATTTATTGAAGTAACCTGGTGATAGTTTCTTTTGATCTGGATATCAGTAATAAATAGAAACAAACTGACCATTTTCGTGGTTAAATGAAACATGTAAACTTCTGGTATGGCTCATTGAGTAGTGGGGCTTGATTACCAGTGCATTCCTCCCATCAGAGTCATAACAATGGTTTCAAATAAGATATTCCTATGCATTTGCTGCCTGTGTCCTTCTAGAGGCTGTGGATTTGAAAGATGCTGTCAAGATAGCCTTGGTAAGTTGCTGCAGTACATCTTGTAGAAGCAGAGTGTTAGTGATGAAGGAAGTGAATGACAAAAGTAGCGGATTGATTGCCAATCAAGCATGCTGGGTTAGGGTTAGGATTGGTCGGGTTTGGTGTGACTCTTCTTCAGAACTCTGAGGTTTGAGGAACAGGTGAAACTGGTCGCTTTAACCTCGGTTGCTTTAAGCTTCCCGAGTGTTGTTGAAGCTGCACTCATTCAGGTAAATGGAGAATGTATTGTCACAGCCTTGACCTTATCTTGTAGATGGTGAGCAGGCTTTGGTGAGTCAGCAGATAAGTTACTTGCTGCATAATTTCAAGACTTAGCCCTGCACTTGTAACAACAGTATTTAAATGGCTGACACAGAACATTTTCTGGTTAATAGTAGCCCTCACAATGTTAAAAGTAGGGCAACATTGATGGTAATGTCATTGAATGTCAAGGGAAGATGGTTATGTTATGTTATGACTCACTGAGGTAGCACACTGGAAATTGAGCCTCTCTCTTCCTGGAGTTATCAAAAAAGTTAAACATTTTGTGAAGTATGAAAAGTTCCCCAATTTACCTGACTCAGAGCCAGATTGATAGAAATCATAGACCAGGTTTCCGCATGAACAAGAATCTCTAGTAATTAGTTTCTAGCTATAGAAAAATAGTTATAAACTGTCAGCATATAATACTAATTAAAACTCTAAACGCCTTCTGAACTCCCCCTTGTACATAGAGAAATAGATAGGGTTAAATAGGCTATAAACAGAGGGAAAAATGGGAAAGACAGTTCAATAGTCATTGTTCCCAGGTACCATTGTTGAGATGATGATGAGATGATGGCCAGCATGTTACTTCAATCATCTTTCTCCAGATGCTTCCACTGGTTGGTAAGAGACACAAGGTGGTTGGTTCCCTTATAAAATATCTTCAAATTATTAGTTAAAATTTTCAGCTTACAACAACAGTTGCAAGAGAGATGACAGTGAGTTTTGACTGTAGATACTGTAGAAAACAGACAGACTGCTCCTAAGCTGGGGAAGAACTGAACACTTGTCTCTCTCTCCCTTTGTAACTTGTTCCCAGCTCCAAGCTGTACCTGAGAACTAATGGCACAGTTATTGGCTGGCAAAAATGTTTCTGTCATTGATAACTGGTCACTAGTCCATACAGCAATGCAGCATCTTGTTGCAATCAAAAGTTGCAGCTGACACCGCCTCAGCTCCAAACTGCCGACAACCTCAACTTCAATTACTGCTTGTTCCAACAGTTGTTTACAATGCTTGTCATGGGTGCCAGGTTACCTTCTTTTCAAAACTGCAGCCACTCTTTCATCCACTGGTTTTAAAACAGATCTTTCTCAATTCAGTCATTTTTTTTGAAAAAGCACAACATAAAAAGACACCAAACAAAAACCAAAAGAACTGCGGATGCTGTAAGTCAGGAACAAAAACAAAGTTGCTGGAAAAGCTCAGCAGGTCTGGCAGCATCTGTGAAGGAGAAAACAGAGTTAACGTTTCAGGTCCAATGACCCTTCCGCAGAACTGATGGTGGCTGGGAAAATGTCAGTTTATATGCAGAAAATAAGGAGGTGGGTGGGGTAGAGAGTAAACAATAGGATAGAGCCCAAAGAGAGAGAAAGGCAGTTGGACAGACAAAGGAGTTGCTAACAATCAGGCTGGGAGGGTGAGTAGTTGTTAATGGGGACTTTTAGTGACTAACAACAGGGGGTGTGTAATGGCAGGCTATGTGGTAACAAGACACCATCCTTGCAGCTAGATTCTCTCTTGCTGGAGTTGGTCAGTGCCTAGCACTCGTGTGACACAAGTATTACTTGCAACTTACCAGCTCATATCTAAATCTTGTCCCAACCTTGCAGTACTTGGACACAGAGTGCTTCAGACCACAGCAGTAACATATGCCACTCGACATTGTACAAATATCAGCAATCATCCCCACTTTTGACCTTATGATTGAAGTCAAGTCAGTGGTAAAGCATAAGAACAAGTTTGGGCCTTAGACACTACCCTGAGGAACTCCTATAAACATGACCTGGGTTTGAGATGGTTGACCTTCAACAGCCATTGCCATTGTCTGTTGTGCTATATATCACTCCAACTGGCTGAGAGTTCTTCCCAAAACCCCATTCCCAATGACTCCAGTTTTGGCAGATCTCATTGATTATCACCTCACCTGTGGGATTTAATTCTTTTGTCCATGTTTAGACCATGCCTATAATGAGGCAGGAGCTGAGTAGGCCTGGTGGAAACCAGTCTAAGTATCAATGAACAGGTTACTATTGACTAAGTGTCGCTTTATAGCACCTTTGATGACCCTTTCCATTGTTTTGCTGATGATCAATAGTAGACTGACGGTGGCGGGTAATTTTCTGAGTTAAACATTTGGGACAGGACGTACTTGGACAATTTTCCCTTTGTTGGGTAGATGCCAGTGTTGTAGCTGCACTGGAACACTTTGCAAGGGCTTATAGCCTTTGCAGTATCCAGTGCCTTTGCCATTTCCTAATATCATGTGAATTGAATTGAACTGGCTGAAGATGCTGGGGACCTCAGAAGAGGATGACTACCAAGTAGACAACCATCTACTTGGTTGTTCTGACTGAAGATGGTTGCAAATGCTTCAGCCTTGTCTTTTACACTAATATGCTGGACTTCCCTATCATTGAGGATGGTGATATTTGTGCAGTTCCTCCTCTTGTTAGTTGTTTAATTGTACAACACCATTCATGATTGATATGGCAGGACTGGAGATTTCATAAATTGCTTGTGGCAGTGTTTAGCTCTGTCTTTTTTGTGCTGCTTCCACTGTTTGGCATGCAAGCTGTCCTGTGTTTTACTTTCACCAGGTTGATGCTTAATTTTAGGTGTGTTTGGTGCTGTACCTGACATGCCCTCCTACAATCCTCATTGAACTAAGGTCTATCCTCCGGCTTCATGATAACTGTAAAATGAGGACATGCTAAGTGTTGAGGTTACAGGTTCTGGTTGAATATTAACTTTTCTGCTGATGATAGTCCACAGCATCTCCTGAATATTCAAGTTAGAGTTACTAGATATGCTAAAATCCATCTCATTTGGCATGGTGGTAATGCCATACAACATAATGGAGGGTATCGTAAGGATGTTACCTCCACAAAGAGTGTGCAGTAGACACTTGTAACAATACTGCCATAAACAGAAGCATCTACTACAGATACATTGTTGAGGATGAGGTCAAGATTTTTCCCACTTGATGGTTCCCTCATCACTGACATATGTACAGTCTCTCTTTACAATCATAATAACCTCTCAATACTGACATTAGTCAGGTACCCAAAACTGATAGAAATGTGTTATCATCCAGCACATTCTTAACAGTTATAACGAATACATACCTGAAGGTTGCTACTGTTGCTAAAGATTTTGTACTGGCCACATTATTTGTTTTGTAGTAATCCATGAATGTTCGAGCCAAGTTGTTTCCAAGTTTCATATCTATAGATTTGTAGTTAAAGAATTAAAACAATTATCTGTGTAGAAAGACAAGTATCTATGTAGAGAAATAAATGCATTGATACTGAACCTACAACCATTTCAAAACATATTATTTTCCCATTCCTTTCCAAATCAAACATGGCACCAAACATAGGTATGAGTAGAACTTTGATGAAATTTTAGTATGGACAACTAACTGGTATCTACTGAGTTCTATGAGTTTTAAAATCTGAAATGAGATACAGGTTGAATATGACAAAAATATTACTGGAAGTGAAAATAATCCAAGTTTAAAGAAATTTTTCTTTAAATATAATGATAATGCGGATTCCTAAATATTTGATCAAGATTTTTAACTAAAGCATAAATAGAACATGAAAATGATTACCAATGGAATATTTGTTATTTACAGTTTCTGTCATTGCAAAGTAAATACATAAATCTAAAAGAAAGTCTGTATAAGTAGATAAAGATTTTGTTTATTGTATGTTTTACTGTGCTTTTGAGACTATTGAATAATAAGATAATATTGGACTTCAGGGAATAAGTTATGATAAAAAAATACACAAATTAGGTCTGTTTTATCTCAAATTTAGAAGATTAAGGAGTGATCTGATCAAAGTCTTCAAGATATTAACAGAAAAAGACAGGATAGATGGATAAACTATTTTCACTGGTTGGGGATTCTAGCACTAGGGGGCAGAGGATTAGGGCCAGACCTTTCGGGAGAATTGTTATGAAGCACTTCTACACACAAAGGATGGTAGATATTTGGAACTCTATTCCACAAACAGAAATGGATGCAGGATCAGTTATTAATTTCAAATCTGCAATAGATACATTTTTAGTTAAGCAAAGGAAATAAGGGATATGGGCCAAAGGCACAGATCAGCCATGATCTCATGATCTCATTGAATAGTGGAACAGAGTCAAGGGGCTGAATGGACGACTCCTGTTCCTACATTAATGGATTTCAGTACAATAACCAATGAGCTTTTAATGTCACAATTTATAATGGATACACTAAAGTCAGAATAAGAGGAAGTATTTTAAAATCCAGTATTATTTGCAAAATAGACAGTGAGGTGGGGTTATGGAACTGTACAAAGTATGTGCGGATGAGGTGCAATTATCTATGTTAACTATGTGTTCTGATTCATAGAGATTGTTGGTAGACGAATGATGGGATGTGGAAGGTGAGCAATGTCTGATGCATAGGTGAAATTGGTAAGGTATAGCATTCAAAAAGGAATCCACTCACCTTGACCATTGTTGTGAGGTCGTTGAATATTTGCTGCACAACATCCAAGCCTTTGAAATAGAGTTTTGGCAGTCAACTGCACAGATATGTACTTCCACTGCCTTTTGACTGAATCAATGGAAAGTCACATACCCAAGCATGCTTCCCCCTCCCCCCATTAATTCAATATTAATAGACGATACCTGTTTTCCTCTCAATCTCTCCATCAAAACTCCATTACAGCATGCAAAACCTACATGCTGTCATGTTGTTTCCCACATCAAATTCGCTTCCTGCATGACTCCAAGCAAGTGGGTTAGTCACAATGCACCTCTGCTTTTAAGTGCGGGTTCGCATTGAGTAGCTACGTTTATGTGGTGCCAGTAATATTTTTTGGTCAATTGTTGCTATGTGCACCTAATCAACAGCACAATTACTCTTGGCTGAACACAGAATCATTATAAAGATTTGGTAGCATGATATTGACAAGCAACAGGGAAGAAATGGTTCTGAAGAAGGGTCCCAACCCGAACCGTTGACTTTCCTGCTCCTCTGATGCTGCCTGACCTGCTGTGTTCCTCCAGCTCCACACTGTATTGACTCTGACTCCAGGATCTGCAGTTCTTGCTATCTTCAAGATGAAATAGTGATATAGGTCCAGGTCAGGATAATGTGTATGGAGAAGAACTTGTAGATAGTGGTGTTCCCTTGTGTAGTCATGGGCACTGTTTGAAAGGTGTTGTCAAAGGAACCTTGCTGAGTTATTTCAAGGCTTTTTATATATGGTAATGCAATCATTCACTTCTGAATTCCCAACCTACTATTGTAACCACCACTGGTTCAATGTGGTTTCCAGTCAATGCTAACCCCACAATGTTGACAGTGGGGGATTCATCATTGATGCTAAAAATGAACATCATAGGAAGATGGATGGATTATCACTTGGTGTATTTTCATTGACAGGCAACTTACGTGGCATGTATGTTGCTTGATATTTATCAGTGCAAGCCTGAATGTTATCTAGGTTTTGCTGCAAATGGACCTGGACCCCTTCAGTATCTGAGAAGCTATAAATGGTACTGAAGATACCTTCCATCACTTTCCTGATAAGAGTAGACTGATTGGGTAGTAATCAGCCAGAGTAGATTTATCTTGATTTTTGTGGCAAGAACAAACCTGGGCAATTTTCCACATTATTGAGTACATGACAGTATGCATTGTGACTCCTGTACCAATTTTCAGGGTAATCCAAGTTACCTCCTAAAGTCCCAGTGGTTAGAATCTATTCTAAATATAATTGATAACAAGTCATGTGTGCTAGTCTGAGGCTTGGAACCTCCAAAGGGCTCAATAATAGGTCACTGAATGTGGTAACCTCCGTGTGCTCAAGGCAACCTATTGGTAAGAAGGAAGGCCCTTTAAAATAGAATGGAATAGTGATGGATAAAATTCAAACTCTGATTGTGGTAAAGTTGTCAGTCACTCCAACCGGTAGAATGGGAGAGCCATGCAAAGCCAAAGTTCCAGACAGTTAACTCTGGATTAGCTGACCTTGTACATGCTTGTCATACGACCATTCAACCCAATTAGAGCGGAGTTAAGCTACACTTGAGCATGAAATCATTGGCAAGCCAGCAGCAAAAGTATAACCCATATTGTGAATGAGCAAAAGACACTTTTAAGACAGCCAAAACCAGACTGCTCCACCATTTTTTAAATCAAATTACTCTTTAACATTTAAAGATTAAACTTGTAATGATGGAAAGCAATGCAAAGACTGTATCACTGCTACTGTCTGAGCCAACATGAATGGCACCAAGAAGTGGACTCTTCTTGTGGCTGGGGAGTTCAAGAAGCCACAGTGCTTTCCAATGTCAAGACATTGACCGCAGCGTATAAAACTAACAAAACAACCTGGATGACCTCTAGTAATTTTGAGGCATGGATTGTGTACGTGCAAAAGATGTATCAACGGAAGATAAAGGAGAATTATGACCCTTGAAGAGTCCAGTGCTCATCCACTCACCAAACTGTGTCCCTAGCTGAAGTTGCAAAAGACATAGCGATTCTCTGGAATTTCTTACTGCAGCACAAAAAAAAGACAAAAAACCATGTTTGATCATATTGATGACACAGCAGATTATATTGTACTTGCCTGAAGACAGCAGGCTAAACAAAAAAAGATTACAGAGATTTTCACGAGCCAATTCTCAATCTTTTTCAATGCCTTTTACTGTACAAGGTCAGGCCATTGTAAGGTAAGGATAAACTGAAAAAGAAAGACATTTTTCATGCATTTATTTTTGTGTTTGATTTAGAGTGCGTTTGTGAGGAAATTGGGTAACATAAAAGCTTTGTTGGTTATTTCAAAGTTCAGCATAACATGAATTTCTAATGGGGTCCCTTGCCATTTAGGTAATTTTACTGCAAGTAAAATAACTTCCTTATTGCGATTCAAAGGAAAAGAAGTACTCCTCACAAGAAGAGTCTGGGGTCTCTGTTGCACCAAGCTTTTTCATGTTCTGGCTGACAATGTTCTGGCTGACAAAACAGCCTCTATTTCCCACTAGTCTTGACCTATCTAGGACTCAGCAAGGGACATACAGGATGCACAATTTTGACATGCCTAAAGTTGGCCAGCTTACTCTTTCTATTAAATGAGCAGCTGGACATCGAGATGTCAATGAGACCTGGCTGCTAAAATCAATCCACATCTCCCACGTGGGAGATAAAATGCATTCTTCAATGTTTAAGCTGCAGAAGGATGGACAATAAATTTATTTATGAAGCAGAGTTAATCTGCTGTGGCTTGTAAATTACTCATCAGATGCTAACATTGGATGTCCCTTTGAGGATGAAATGGAACAAGGACATATCTTAACTCAATCTGGTCTTAGAGTTGATATCTTGTGAAAAACTGTATAACCAAATTTATAGCCATAAAGCAAATGACAACAAAGAAAATATAGAATAATTGTCCAATACAGTGCCAACATTTTATCCCTGTGCAAGGATAGTCAATTCTTCAAACTAGTTTTGCCGGCCAGCCCGCTGCAGCTGTCAACTCAGCAGACACCAGATGATGCTTTGCATGTACAACCAAGCACATCCTGGCACCAAAGTAATTTAAGGTATTTCAACTACATCTTAAATGAGGGCAGTTAAAAGAAAAATATAAGCAGCATTTTCATTACTTAGGTTTAAAATCACCAACAGGCATTTTATTAAGGCATCTGTTACGCTGAGAATAAACCGTCATACAGAGACGTGTCCCACATTTTGGCTGAGCTAAGTACAAAAGAAGTGCACTGATTCAAAGCAACTGATCAGCTGTGATTATGTTAATTTCAAAATTATTTACTTCCTCATGTAGAAGCTATGGAATAGGATCCTTTCTGGAAACATCTTTGTTGAATAAATTTTAATTGATCAAAATTAAGAATCAGCCTCCTAAAAAAATTTTGAGGTTGTGCACATGCTCTGTGTAAGACTTGTGAAAGGGAAAATAAATGAGAAAACTGAATGTAAGTATTCAGCTAGATCCTCAACTAAACAATTCTATACAGACAGATTTCAGTCAATTCTAATGTATATAAATGCAGATTATTAAGTACCAATTTTATTTTTCTTATTTACATTATTTGCAAAATTTACACTTTAATGCTGTGACATGAAACTATTTCTGCACATAATCTCTGGGTTATAACCTAAACCACGAGCAAATTACCATAGAGTAAATAAGATCAGCTCATTCAATGCA